ATGTCCTTTGGTGGAATAGACTATGCAGTGAAAAAAGTGATTGATTAATATTATTTATGGCCTTTTCAGAACACTAAATCTGACTAAAACAGTTAAGGAATTTCTGCAAACGTGCACTTGATGTTTGAGGGAGATAAATGAATTCTGAACTGTTGTTAATCAGGAAGATATCAAAGCAGTGGTCTGGTTGTGTATCGTATCTCCTGCTCAAAGCTGTGATGCAAAAACAATCCTCCACACACATCTTTGACTTACAATAGGGAATTACCTAGAATAAATGTAACTTCAACAGTGTGGAGTGGATGGTATTGCTATTGAAAAAAATCACGTTGCGCAATTGTATCTTTGTATGAATAAGTTCGGATCATGTCTAAAGTCAGTACAGTACAATTAGACTTTACAGCACTCATGTCCTTCCCTTTGTCCCAAGGCGAGAGCTGATATCCTTGTTCTAATACTCTCCTTTATCAACTTTAGTGCTGGCATAAGGTTTCCGTGCGACTCAAGGCTCTGTCGGCCTCATGGATCATAGCGACCTTCAGCAACCATTACCCCCCTCTCGGTTCTGTTTACATATTTCCTCACCTGTTATCTCTTTGCCACTCTACATGCAGCCATCCTATTCCCTTGATATACATTGTTTACTGTTGAAAAGCCATGTGTGTGTTCATAATCAGTCATCTAAAATTGTTAAACAAAAAATTAGGGATGCACGATAATGCAAATTTGAACCGATATCGATAACCGATAATTGTATGTCTACCGATAACGATAACCGATAATGTCAGCCGATAATTCTTTGTCTAATTGACTTTAGTTTTAATACAAACCTATCTCCTGCTTTATTTTTGACCCATAAATATAACAATGAATCACTTTGTAGAGCAAAAAGTTGGAATTTATTAATTTATATTCTTGCTTCAAAGGCTTTATCAGTGCAATATATTAAGTAGAACAATGAGGCCAATAGAAATAGGCCCATAATATTCAATGTATAACATTAGCAAAATAGCAACAAGTAACATACATAACTTTTCAAAAAATGTCCCCTGACAGTTAAATAAAAAAGAAAATAAATATGTGGAAAAAATGCCTGCATCTAAAAATAAATAAATAAAGAGGCAACATTCAATGATAAATCAAAGAGATCAGGGTTCAAATAATAGTGCATTTTTCCAAAATAATAAAACAAAAGGCTAAATCCTGTGGATTTATGATTGAGTCAAACAAAAACTACTACAATATTACTACTACTACTCAGTTTTATGCCAATTCAGGTCGGATCAGTGGTAGATTTTTCTTAACAAAGAGTATCATCTCTGCCTTCTCACATCCTAACCTGTTTCGTTTTTCATCCATTACATTTGCAGCAGCAGAAAATAAGCGTTCGCTGTCAACGCTAGTGCAAGGGGCAGACAGGTATTTCCGCGCAAGCTGGGCCAAGTCTGGAAAACGGCTTTTGTTCTTTGCCCAAAAGTCCAATGGTGTCAGAGTCTGGGTCTTCATGGGGAGTGTGGCCTCTGAGATGTATGTCTGGAACTAAGTGAAAAAATATGTAAAAATACATTAATTTCGTTAATTAATCAGATTCATCTTATAATATTTACCTGCACTTCCACATGCATTTTTTCTTGTCGTCCAGCTCCCTCTGTGTTTTCCTGTATTATTTCGTCATACATGTCCAGGAGTGAATTGTTTCCCCTGGCCATAGTCCTTTCCCCTTCAGGCACAGGCACGCTCTCATCTGTCACAAAAAAAGTAATATTTTTTAGCAATAATCAATAATTCAATATAAATATAAAACCCAATTGGAATTTCAAGTTAGAAAATATCTTACCAGGTGAGTCACACTGGAGTTGGTTCTTCAATTTCTCCAGCAGCATTTTCTTCACCTTTTCTTTAGTTTCTGCGGTGAAGTAGCGGTCTTTGTATCTAGGATCCAAGATTGTGGCAAATAGATACAAGGGCTCTGCATCAATTCGATCAAAACGTGTCTTGATTGCGTCCAAAAGGGTGCTCTTTGAGGTTTTTACACCATGGTCAGTGGGGACAGCCTTCTCTAATAGTCTCTTTAATGCTTGGATAGCCGGTATCACATCTGCAGCTGTAGCTGTAGCCTTGCTGATATCTCTTGTCAGCTGTTCACATGGCTCAAGAATGGTCACCATATTTTCAATCAGTGACCATTGGTGAGGGCTCAATGTTGCTGGCAATTTGTTGTCCACTCCATATGCAGCAAGTGGTCGCTTTTGCTGTATCAGACTCTGGAGCATATAAAAGGTGCTGTTCCACCTTGTTGGAACATCTTGTTGCAATCTCGCAGGACACAAACCTAATTGTGTTTGTAAGTTTGCAAGGGCTGTGGTAGCTACTTGTGAATGTTTAAAGTGGCCAACCATCTTACGTCCAATTGCAATACAGTCAGATACACTTTTTTGGCTCAACACAGCTTCATGTATGGCCAGTTGAAGTGTATGTGCCATGCAGCCCAGACTACAAACTCCACACAGCTCCATTGCTTTTATCATATTACGAGCATTATCCCGCAGGACAACATGCACCTTATCTTTTGTTATGCTCCACTTCTGGAACATCTTCTCAAAAGCCTCACAGATTGCTTGTGATGTGTGTGACCCTGGCAGCTCTTGTGAATGGAGGGTAGCTTTTTGTAAGTTAAAATCTCCATCTAGCCACTGTGCCGTCATGCTTAGCATACTGACTGGACTCACGCCTGACGTCCATATGTCCGTTGTGAAACTGATCCAATTAGCGTCGTTTTTTGCGAGCAACGTGTGGACGTGTGTGGCAAGCATTTCGTAAAGTGCAGGAAGGGATGTGTCAGAAAAATAGCGGCGGCTTGGAATATCATAACGTGGTTCGAGGTGCTGCATTAGCATTTGGAATCCAATGTCTTGTACCACAGAGAACGGCTGGTCACCCGTCACGATAAACTGAATTATTAAGTCGTCAATTGCTTTAGCCCTTGGGTCTTTTCTGACAAACTTTTGTTTCTTGTTAAACGATTCCTGAATAGTCATCGTCCCCGCGGCTTTACGTTTGCCGGGTGCGCCAATGTTGTTGCGCTTCGCGGCACAAGTGGCTTCATATTGCTTCCACTCATTTTCACGATGGTGGATTTTGAGGTGACTTATCAGATTTGTTGTGTTGAAGCCCGTCGACCTTTTTCCTCCACGTGGAACTTCTGCAGAGCACGTTTTGCAAAACTGCGAGAGAGTTGTCTTGTTCAGACACGGAAAAAAATCCCCACACTGGTGACTGCCACGCCATTATGCTTTTTCTTTATAAACAAGAGCGCGGCTTGGTGACGCAACAAATATGCGACATTCCCTTACGGAGTGGAGGGGGTTGAGGAGAGAGCATGGAGCGCGAGCCACGACAGACTGCTCAGAGGCAAAACGGAGATGATTTGTCTTTGCTATTATCGGCGCATTTTATCGGTTGATTTCTTACTATCGGACTTATCGGTTGGACGTCAAAATTGCCGATAATTGCCGATAATTATCGGACACCGATATTATCGTGCATCCCTACAAAAAATAATTCAGACCAAGCAGCACAAAGTCATGGTGAGCACACAAGCTCACTGCTTAATTGGTGCCAAACTGTTCTTGTGTAAGTAAGCAAGACACTTCACCCAAATTGCCTGATTAGTTAAACTTCTGTCAGTTTACACCAGGGCAGCTATGGCTCTATCAGTAGTTTACTATCACTGTTTTATGAATGAATATTTCCATGCTTTGAGTATCTTAGTTAGTAAGATAAATCAGTAAGGGAAGCTTTTTACTTAAAGTTCTGAATCGATGGGAAATGGGACACGTAACAAATAAAGATCTGATCATCACCTGGATACAGGATGTTTTTATATGTTATAGTTATTATAAATTGAGGTAATCTTAGTAACTCAGTTAGTACAGCACTGGTGCTACATAGTTTCACTGGTGGCACTGGTAGTTAAATGTGGTTTCAAGAAAATAGAAATAAAGAATATATGTGAAGGTGGAACACCAAATAAAATAAATGTTATGCGTTCAGCATTTTCAATCCAATATTACGCTTTTTTCTTTTTTTATAACCTTATAATGGGGCGACAGTGGCTTAGTCAGTACCTTGGTACCAAGTAAGCCACAGACTCCCACTGGACCTTTTCCACCAACTCCGTTTGATGTCTGCTGTCGTTGTGTCCTTCGGCAAGACGCTTTTCTCAATTCAATCTAATTTATTCTTGTATAACCCTAAATCACAACAGTAGTTATTGGTGGTCTTAACAAAACCGGTGGATTTGCCAGGACAGATCAGATAATCAACAGTTCAAACACAAGAAAGGCAATGGTAAAAAAACATATACAAACACAATATTGGTCCATAAGGGGCAGATGACCAATGTCCATAAATGTTGTTGAATGTTGAGTTTAGAGTCCTGGATCATCACCACTGTCCTTTTAGTTAGACTCAGACAAAGGTCCAACAGACCCTCGTACATCGGCAAGGAACAACTCTAAAACCCAGAGGGAAATTGTCCACCACTATTCCTGAAGCCTCCGCTGAAAGATGAAGGCTATGCAGCCTCTGCAGCCATCCTCCTGTGGATGGTGGATGGTGGATGCCATTCCACCCTGCTGAACCTCCATCTTATACTGTATTGTTTTATTGTTTTAATGGATTAATTTTGCATTAATTGCCTCACTTTTTTTGTTGTTGAAAGTCTGTAAATTGAGTTTCTCAATTTGGATTTTAGCAACATGACCAAGCAGACGAGGAATCTTAATCCTAAAATGTCTTGAAAATGTGTTAGTTTTTTATGATAAATTGTATTTTTTGGAATCATCATCGTCCTTCACAAAATGTCATTAAATTGATCATTTCACACAGAGTAATCTGAGTAGGTCACTGTCTGGCTGATATTGTCCATAGAGATAGAACTTTTGATGAGGTGAAGCACTTTCTGTTCTTTTGTAACCAACTTACTTCTTTCTTTACAGCGGACGATGGGTGCGGTGGGACTCTGAGGGGCCAGAGCGGAGTGATCACCACTCCTAATTACCCCAGCGAGTATAACAACAATGCCGACTGCACCTGGACTATCCTGGCTGAGCCCGGGGACACCATCGCCCTGGTTTTCTCTGACTTTCAGCTGGAGGACGATTATGACGTGTTGGAGGTTAGCGGCACCGACGGCTCCTCTCAATGGTGAGTGCCCACGGTGGTCTGGTCTGGGGTGGCGAGGGGACAGAGGGTAGACATGTGCAGCTGAGGGACTAATGCCTGCTGGCTTTTGTCCACATGAAGTGAAAAGAGCTGTGGCAGTAGGGGGTATAAGTGCTGGGTGACAGACATTTACTGAATACTGAGAATACTGATCACTGTAAATATTTATGTAAGTGTTATGTAAGAGGCAGATCACTGATAAAGTGTGTTACCGGTCTCATTAATTTATACTTGTAACGGAGTTTAAGGTTTCTTACTCAACCAGCACAGCTGAATATCTGATATATTGTCTTGTAATGACCATGCATACGCAGTCATTTTCCCAGCACTGAGGTCTTTAGAAACAGGACTGCTTTTAAAGGCTGGCTCTTTTAAATATAATTGCTCTCTCCATGAAGGAGACCTAAATGCTCTCTGCTTGGAAGCGTGATAAGCGAAGGCCTAATGGTGACCTAAACCCAATCAAGGCTTGAAGATAGTAGACACATAATAGGCCTATTGAATCTAATAAGTGATGTTGGTCTCATTTTATACGCAAACTTGTGTGATTTAGACTCTTTTGTGCGGGTAAAGATAAGATAAGATGTGCTTTATTTATCTCACATAAAGAACTCATGCCTCGCAGCAAGGCGGTTCAATCCATGGATCTAAAGTCTGGATAGGGTATTAGCCTGTTGAGAATATATGACGAGTGATTTATATTGGTAAAGCAGCAAGAAAGGGCTTTACAAACATTGTTCTCATTGAATGCACTCTTAAAAAATGGATTGTGTTAGGAACCCATCCTTTCAAAGAGGTTGAATATTCTGTAAATGTTTGTCTTCTTTGTGGTAATAAACTTCTAAGATGGCCTGACTGGAGGAAAATCCATTAATTTGAAAAGCAAGACATCTGTAATCCACTTTTAACACCATAGTTACCAACTCCTACAGTAAAAGTAGGCCTAAGAAAGCCGAGCATCAACACTGATCTGGGCACTGCACTGGAGCCACCACAGCATACTGCAGTGAGGGCTGGGTTAAATGCAACCTTTATCTCCCCACAGGGGCAATGAAGGCTAATCAAAATTATGTTTTGTGCATATCCAGTCTCTGCACTGCACTAATATCATAAAGGGTGTACTTCACTCTAATGATGAAGCTGTAGGACATCCTGACGTCTGTGCAGGTCTCTCGCCATCTGCAGAATCTCCTCCTCCCCATGACAACTCTCTCACACCGGCAGATAATTAGTGAGCTTCATTACCAACAGCCGGTGACTATATATTATGCTATTTCACCTATTAAGATAAAATATGATGGACACGCCACCACAACTGCCAATCTGCTATTCAAATAGGGCATAGAACATTTATTGTATGTGTGTTAATTTTTGGGAAATGTGGTTTGCTCCATCCTAATGTTGTACAAGTATAGGGCTGACCTTAATGATTTAAAACCGTTAATTTTGTTTGATTCTCAACAATACCACATAAAAAAGGCTTCATCTTTAGTGCTGTAAATGTTTTCGATTTCCTGTGGTAGAGGTTATTCCACAATCATATGAAGACATTTTCTCTACTGATGTAACTGATGGTATCCATGCCCAAATAACTAACTAAATCATATACTTATTTGGTAGCAGTATCCCGGGAGGCTTTATATGGGCTTTTGCTCACCAAACCATGCAGAGACTGTGTCAGAGGTCAACATCATGAAAGCTCGTCCTGACCTCTCTAATTAGCCACCAGTAGGAGGTCTCACTCCCCCAGCTTTGCTCTGTACTTTCACACTTTCATTTGCACTTCCCTGCAGAGGACACATCCAACTCAGGGACCTGTCAATAACCTGCCCAGCCTTACTTCAATCCAGTCCAATCAGGTCGTTTTGGTCCTTGCGTTATGTAACTTTGTTTAGGCCTATTATTATAGCCCCACATGTGACCTTGACACATGTGAATGGAACTGTCAAGGTTCACCACAGATAATTTTAAACATAGCTTTTAAACTGCCATTTTGGCCATTGCTGAAATATAGATCACAAAAAACTTGACATATTGCCCCGTTACCTGTCCACTTTAAGTATTCTCTCCTAACGCAGTGATCTTTCATGGGCTCTGATCATCTATAGGCAGTTAAACTCTTTGTATGCCTGGTACTCAGTGATGCCGTGCCAATTTTTACAATGCAATTCTGGAACCTGCATTATGCAGTGCATCTAAAATGAATGGAGGTATTTTTTTATTTTTTTTATTCCTCCAAAGGGAGATTGAAAAAGCTATTTAAGCATTCATATTTGCCCTGAATGTCTGTTAGAATAGCTGCAGCATTTATTTATCAACCCAATAATTTCGTATCTTCTATTCCAGGCCTCATAGTAATACCTAGAAATCCACTGTTACAATACTGGTACTGGTATATCGGTGCTGATATTGGAACATTTTTGGATTGGGTGTCTGTATGAAATTGGCGTTGAAAGACTATTTACTCGCTAATATTAACCCAGAATATCTTTAACTTTTACTCGTACAAAGTTGCTCTGTAGTTACTTGCGAGTAAAACAGCAATTTAAAAAAAAAAAGGCTGCTTTTGTCAGTGTGTTAGCTGTGATTTGAGATGTTTCCAGTCCCTTCCTTGTGATTCATTCTGAGTATTGGCAGATATTAAAAGACAAAGTATCTTGATCGGGCATTAAGAAACCTTGTCCTGATGCATCAAATAATAGCAAGGATAATTGTAGCATATTTATCATAGAAATATGTAAGTTAGTTAGTTGCAATGGCAGTTTGTTGGTTGGGCCTGCATTAGTATTGGCTTCAGCCATGTTCACAGCATGTTTTCTGTTGTAGTGTTTTGATGTAGTCATAAGTGTTGCCTCCTGGTGAGTTCAAAGGTGACAGACAGTGGTGCGCTTCAGCAGGTGCACCACCTCGGGCGTCCATGATGTCGCTGAGCTGCCTGGGGAGTGCTTAGGCCCACACATCGACAGTGAGGGTGTGTGAGCCTGCCACAACAGTCTGATGGGTGCAGCAGAGTCAGCCTGGCATCCTGGGGAGTCCGGGAAGTGATCAAATCCCAGATAGCCAAGCAGAGATTCAAAGAGACTTCAGTATGAAGCTACAAGGCCCAATTCTCAGTCTGCTCACAGTCAATCAAGATTTCCTTTGAATGTTTTGGTACTGAGTGAATGAGTGAAAGTGACACGTATCCAGGGGCCTTCTCACTCTGAGATGACTGGATACATATTCCTTCTGAACCTGCTTCCTCTATCAACAGTGTATCTGTCTTTCACTGCAGCCGTATATATTTCAATGTTCATAAGCTCAACTGGTGCTGCTGTGGCCACCTCTGCCAACTGCCTGTAGCTGTCTCTTCTGCATCCTCAGTGCCTTCTTGTTTTGTAAACTACCCACTTTCTGATACAGAAACACAAACCAATCAGTACTTTATTCCCACTTGTTAAGTAAACATTATGTAATGAGGACCATTTACCTGATGTGATGAGAACATAACAATATACTGCTGTATTTGAAGATGTGTGTTCCTTTTGGCATATAGTTGGATCAATCAATCAATCAATCAAAGTTTATTTGTAGAGCGCCTTTCATACACAGGGCAACACAAAGCGCTTCACAGTCCACATCACAAATCATCACATAAAACAAACACCAGAATCACAATTAAAACATTAAAATCACACAAAAGATTAAAACACAATTAAAACATTAAAATCACACAAAAGATTAAAACACAATTAAAACATTAAAATCACACAAAAGAATAAAACCATTAAAACTTTCAAAATTACACAAGAAATTAAAAAAAAAAAAAAAATAAATAAATAAATAAATGACAACAGTGCATTAGAAATTGAGATAAAATCCTTCAGTTGTATGCACAGGCAAACAGAACAGTCTTTAACCTGGATTTGAACATTGACAGAGTAGACGCCTCCCTCACATTTTCAGGGAGATTGTTCCAGATCTTAGCTGCATGGATCTGAAACGCAGCCTCCCCATGTTTGGTTCTCACTCTGGGCACCAGCAGGAGGCCAGTCCCTGTGCTCCTCAGAGTCCGGGCTGGTTCATATGACACCAACATGTCACTAATGTATGCCAATAGTTGTAATTTTATTCCCAAATTTTCAAGATATATTCACAATCAATACATTGTCTCAAACTGTCTAGGTGAATCTTTTGTTATAGGATAAATATAACAGTGGGGTTATGTACAGAACACAGGGCTTGCTTCCCGACAGCACTACCACTGGAGAGTTGTATTGATTGATTTGTGATGGACAGGTTCATTGGTCTAGTCCGAGAAGAAAGGCCAAGGATCAGGGTCAAAACAACATTTCCTTGATTGATCCACAACAGCTCCAGCAGAAGCCACTCACTTCCCACATTGAGAATTTCAAGTTCAAACTAAGTAGCCAACTTTAAAACTCATTGTAACAATTCTTGGTCTGGAGCCATGTTAAGCACAGAATCCCCTTCTTCGCAAAATAAAACCTATTATACATATTTGGGTTTGGAAATGTATTTTAGGTTCCAAATGATTCATCATTGTTTCTTGGTTTTAGGTTTTTGTGACAAAAGTTTATGAAGAAAGTTGAAAGTATATGATCACGCAGTTTGAGCAATGGATTTGTATTTTTGTCAATCATGAAGACAATATGTTGTCGTATGTTTTCCTGCAGCAGAGTGGGTTTTGTGGGCAGTGTTGGGACCACTGCTTCTGAACGCTTTTGAAGGATGGGTCAAATGCAGATGAAAAACATCCCTACAGGTACCTTAGCTTACCTGCACCCTTGAAATCCATGTTTACTATTAGTCAAAACTTTTCATGTTTTTGTGTCCGATCTTTCCAAAACATAAATGTACTCCTATATTTCAAAGGGAATATTGGGAAAGCCGGCATACATCTTGATTGAAAATGCGGAAAAATCAGGAGTTGCTGTTGGAGGCCTACGTCCCTGGGTCTTACCCCATCAGGGCTTTGTCTGTGCTGCCTGCCTGCCCGGGGGAAAGCATTACTACGCCATTACACTGTTTGCCTCCACATTGATTTTCCTCCTCATCACTATCCACTTGGAGGCAATGTAAATAACGCCTGACGCACGCAAATTGCTGGATCCTCATTCTTGCCTGTGCCCTACTAAGGGGAACTCATTTATTTGACTTGCAATTTTATTCACAGCACAATTGTCTTTCAAAGTACCATATTACATGTTTTATCTTCCGTGAGGTATTCCTTGAGATATTTAGAGTTAGTCCTACAATTATATTTGATGCTGTAAATAAGAAGTGAGAACAATGTACCGGTATTCAAAGGAATCATAATTACGCTATGGAAAAGGCAAATAAAACCCCCCCAAAAATATCTTGCATCATAATACCTCTTTGGTTGTTTCCCTTTGTTTCGCAAACTCATTACCCATTAGACCATTTCCCCCTTTATTTATATATATTTTTCAAAATGTTCCATCTTTGAAAACACAGAGCTCTTTGTAAACTACAGTCCTTTGCTTCTTTAAAGGCAAATCTGAGAGTCCATTGAGTTTTGATACTCTGTCTCCCCGAGCCCAGCTCCGCTCTCTTTTAAGCCAATACCTTATGGACTTGAGACAGTAGCGTCGAGATAGCAGAAGGATTATCCCTGCAGTGCTCCTCTGTGTCAGCATGTCCCGTCTGGAAGTAAAATAAAAAGTAAACACACATAAGCTTGTTGGAATGCAGTGCAGAAGATGAGAAACTTGGCTTGAATAAAAATATACATTAAATCAAACTCTATTGTTTCTAAAACAAGAATGATATCCCCAGAAACATGTACAGTATGAGCTCTAACTGGTATGTAATTTCCATTCAAAATACTTAGGATCAAAGTGACCATAGAGGTAGTTGGCAGATGGTATCTTTGGGTCCCAAGCATGGATTGAGCGTTAAATGTGAGCATATAATCATCATCAACATATTGTCTGACCAGCCAGAAACCCATAATGTTAAAATAACTATATTTATTTTTAAATATTTTAGGGTCTGAATTACTGCCCCAAGCAGTTGTGTTTTGTTGAATTTGATTAGAGAGATAAAGAACCATATTTATTTTTATTTTTGATTAGAGAAATAAAGAACTATATTTATTTTTAAATATTTTAGGGTCTGAATTACTGCCCCAAGCAGTTGTGTTTTGTTGAATTTGATTAGAGAGATAAAGAACCAATTCGG